TTCAAAGTCTGTTCTATCATTTGTGGCAGGGGCTAGGCCCTCCCCCATGTGTCTAGGCTGAGAGAGTGTCCATCTATGTGGGATGGGCTCCCAAAGTCCATTCATATACCAGGGATAAATACTCATAGACTGCCTAGTCCTCCTAACTAACACTAACATTCAGGGTTATCTTATTCTTTTATAGTATGAGATGTTCTTTCATGCCTCATACACACACACACATAGCATGGGACATATGGCTCATCCCTCCATATGAGTGAGATTGTGTCCCCTCACAGTGTGTCCACAAATAAACATGATCCTCCCTAGAGTCAGACTTGCCTCTCTTTTTCTGCCTTTGAAATCTACCTCTGTGTGTGTGTGTGTGTGTGTGTGTGTGTGTGTGTGTGTGTGTGTGGTGTAGGGGGGCAGTGTTATAAACTTAAAACAATGGAATAGCTCCTGCTTGGAAGTGTCCACTGTGCAAGTCTCCACAAACCCAAACCCTAAGACATTCCTAGGCTTCTATGATCCTTTGGTTGTTGATTGTTCTGAGGATTGAACCCAGGGCATGGGGCATGCAAGATCAGAGCTCGTCCCATGGAACTGGGAATTGAAAGCTGAATCACTGCATGCTACTCAAATACCACTGAAACAATTCCAACTCTTGACCTTCCTCCAATAATTCTCCACAACACCTATAGTTTTTTATGTTGATTAATTTTAAAAAAGCTACCCAGCAGGGGAGATACTTAAGTGGATTGCCTGACAGCCTGACTTCCATCACTAGGACCCAAGAGACTAGGGGTATGCATCTGTTGTAATCAAAGCCCTACTACTAATTGAGACCACCACCACCCCCCCCCAAAAAAAAAGAAAAGCTTAAGAGCTAGTTAGCTTGGAGAACTCTGTGCTGCAGAAACCAGAAGGGGACCTTGCCTCAAAAGCGAAGTGCATTGTGGAATGTAGCCCAGTAATGTATGACTGATGGCACTTTCACATACTAAACATATACCTAAGTTAATAAACAGCTGCTGCGACTTTGAAGACATCTTTCTAAACTTTCTATGGTAGCATGATTAGACAGTAGACACTAGGGTTTTTCACAAATGGACAGTGAAAAGCTGAAGAAAACTCAGAAGGAATAGATCCCAACCTCATTCAAGCCAATATACTATTTAAACCCAGGCTGGCCCAAGCCCCTATTTACTGGGACATCTCTCTCTTTAAGGAGAGTTAGGTAACTAGCGAGAATGGCATTGAACTCATGACAAGCCTCCTGCCTCAGCCTCCCTCCAAATTCAGTCTGGGGAATGAGCCACCACGCCCAGTGCACTAGCCCTTTGCTTCCTCATTTTTTTTTCCCTTTATTTCTCTTACTGCTAGTGCTGGGAATGGGACCCAGGGCCTCACACACACTGGGCAAAGCTGTCTATCTGCAGGCAACCTCAGCCTAGTCTCTGACCTGTGCCTCTACCAGCCTTCTGCTTTGTTCTGGTAACCATTTTATACCCAGAACTAGTGTCTTAGGGCATGACACTGCCATGTGTCTTCTCATCATGATGACTACTAATCTAAAAGGCATCTTCGCCTCTAGTTAATTTCAGCATTTTTTTGAAAGTTTTTTTTCCCCAGCTTTAACATAAGCTACAGGATTCCAATGTTTTTGAAAAATGTATAATTTTTTTAAAATAAAAATCATTGTAACACAGTTGAGGACTTGGGAGTGGGCCAAAGGGCCTCCCATAGCACAGTAGGTAAAGGTTCTCGTGGTGGTGTGTACCTATAAAGCCATCACTGCAAGAGTTTGAGATCAGTCTGACCTACAAAGTGAGAGATTGGAAAAAAGGAAAAAAGAAAGATGTTAGGAGGAAAAATAAAATAAAATAAAGCCAGGTAGCAAACACCTTTAATCCATCACTTGGGAGGCAGATCTCTGAGTTAGAGGCCAGACTGGTCTACAGAGAAAGTGAGTTCCAGGACAGCCAAGGCTACACAGAGAAACCCTGTCTCAAAAAAAACAAAAACAACACCAACAGAAAATTAGTGGAGTTTAAGAGGCCACTTTACAAAAAAGAAAGAAAAGAAAAGAAGATAACTTGCCAAGTCTATATAGTAAGTTTCAGTAGGCTTGGGCTACATAGGGAGAATTGTGTTACAATACTCCCTATCCCCAACCCCTAAGAGAGAAAGAGAGAGAGAGAGAGTTAAAAATAAAAATTTAGTAAGATGAGTAATATTTTCATGTGATTTAGGGGAGTGAACACGGCAAGCACGGTTGTACATGTCTATTATCCTACTGTCCAAAAGGCTGAGGCAGGAAGAATTTGAAGCCAGCCTGGTTCACAGAGCAAATTTCAGACTTGCCTGAGCTAGAATGTGAGATCTCAAAACAATTGAAGAGTAAAACTAACCAAATGAGTAGAATGAAAGCAGAGCTGGGCACGGAGACACATGGCTTTAATGAGGGCTTGCTTACAGTTTCGGAGGGTGAGTCCTGGCAGAGAGTGTGGCGGCAGGGAGAAAGCCTGGTGCTGGGGACGTAGCTGCTGGGGAACTAGCGGAGGGACACAAGTCTGAGAGTAGGAGGGACAGACAATGAGAAAGAGAGTGCATGGAATTAGCACACCAACAGGGGGCGCTTTGGGTTTTGGAAACCTCATAGTCGACCCCCAAGGACACGCCTCTTCTGATAAGAGCACATCTTCTAGCCCTTCCCTGATAGTTCCACTAACTTCAGAGCAAACATTCCGTTATATGAGGCTATGGGGGTCATTCTCATTCAGACCATCAGCGTCATCATCCTCTGCTACATAGTCTTTTTCAAGAACTAAATTAACAAGCCATAATTAGTACAAAGAATTCATGAAGAGAAAATACCACATTTAAAAATGAAAGCCAGATGAAAAATGGGACTGATTATGAAAGCCATACTGGATCTTGAGACAAAAGGAAAAGCCAGTAGTGTTGAGTTTTTCAGACTCCATTATAAACTTGCGCAATTGCCTGTGAACATACTTAATATGGATACTGTGAAATTTTTAAAATTTATAAAGATTGGTGGTGGCACACACATTTAATTGCAGAATTGGGGAAGCAGAGGCAAGTGGATCTCTGCGAGTCTGAGGCCAGCCTGGTCTACAGAGTGAGTCCCAGGACAACTAAGGCTACACAGAGACCTTGTCTCGAAACACGCCCCCCCCAATTTAATTTACTTAAGAAAATTTTAATTTTGTTATTTGTATTTATATGTAGTGTTTTTATCTCTGTGTATCTATGGGGAGAGGGGTGCCCACAGAGTCTAGAAAAGGGCATCAGATCCTCTGCATCTGGAGTTGTAAGTGGTTATAAGCTGTCTCATTTGGGTTCTGTAAAGCAAATTCTGTCCTCTGTAAGAGTATCTTAAGTGCTGAATCATCTACTTCTCAGGGTACTTGAAATGTTTCCAAGTGAATATTTAATCTTTTTGTTTGTTTGGGGGGGGGAGTTGCTTTTTTTTTTTTTTTTTTTTTTTTGAGACAGTTCCTTTGTGTAACAGTCCAGTCCAGGCTATCCTGGAACTACATTTGTAGACCAGGTTGGCCTGGAATTCACAGAGATTTGCCTGCTTCTGCTCTGACTCCTGGAGTTCTGGAATTAAAGACATTTACCAGCACTACCTGGCTAGTTAATTAATCTTTACCTCAGTATAGATTAGAAAATCAGTAATTTATATGCAAACTATACACATATATGAAGTGTATATGATTTCATTCAGCCCAAAGATAGTGGGATTAGCATATAAATTTGTGTGCTTTCAATCCTAACGCTGAGAAGAACCACTATCTCAGGCAAAATGCATACTCATGGTCTCAAAGCTATCTTTTTTTTAATTTTTAATGATTTATTTTTTATTTTATGTGCATTGGTGCTTTGCCTATATGTGTGTCTGTGTATGGGTTTCAATTCCCTGGAGTTACAGATAGTTGTGAACTGCCATGTGGGTGCTGGGAATTGAATGCTCCTCCAGAAGAGCAGCCAGTGCTCTTAACCTCTGAGCCATTTTTCCAGCCCTCAAAGCTATCATATATATATATATATTAAATTATGTGTTTGTGTGTGAGAAATTTGAGTGTGGGTATGTAGGTCAGAAGCAGGGGCTCCAGGCAGAATTGGAGTTACAAGCTGTTGTGAACCTCCCTCTAAGGTTACTAGGAACAGACTTCAAATCTACTGGGAATGCGGGAGTGTCCTGTTTAACACAGAGCTTTCTATCCAGCCCCACAGCGATATTTTTGTTTGTTTGTTGAATCAACAAACTCCCTGGAACTCACAGAGATACTCTAGCCTCTGCTGGGGTTAAAGGAGTGCACCACCAAGCTTGGCTCCTCTGCAGATCCTAATCAGAGAAAAGGTAATTATAATTTTCTCCAAAGCCTTCATAGCCTGCCAGGCTGATGAGCTTCAGGAAACTACAGGTGTATTTCTAAATCATGACTGTTGATTATTCTATGGACGTATTTGATGTCCCCAACCCTTTTTCCATTCTAATCTCTGCCAGACACTTCTTTAGGTGCTGTGAGACAGTGCTGAAGAAAACAGGCGAGGATGGGAGGGGATGGGCAACAAATAAGAGATGAAATGCAGTGCTTTCAACGCTGAAGCAGCAAAGGAATAAAAACGAAGTGTAACCAACTACTTTCCTGGTGTATCGTTTATTTAGTAGCCAGTGTGACTTAAACCAATGATTGTAGTTATTAAAGGTCTCACGATCTGCCAGGATGGTGGCAGCTGTCCATGTCACAGAAATGGATTGGATTATGCAGCACTGGTTACAGTTGGAGACGGGAACTGGGCCAAAGGGTGTGTTTCTCTTTAAGAGCCAGTGCGATGGGGGCGGGGCTGAGTGTGTGCGGGGCTAGCAGAGGGCGGAGGTACCGGCTGGGAAGAGCCGCCCTCCCGAGTGCGCGCGCGCCGTGCGGGGGCGGGATCAAGGCCCGTCCGCATGGCTGGCTCTGGCCCCGGATGAGGAAGTGCGGTGGGAGTGGGGGGGTGGGGGGAAGAGAGACTGTAGAAGCGGTGGAGGCCGGAGCGCCCTCGGGCCTCAGCTCCAGAAGATCTCCTAGAGTTGGCGGCCGCGGGGACAGCAGTGACCGAGGCAGCCGAGGCTAAGGTGGCGGGATGAGCACGGGCCGCGGAGCAGGCCACAGGGTAAGAGGCCCGGGCGGCCCCACAACGCCCTGGGGGTCCTCCGCCGAACGGTGCTGACTAAAGGGGGTCCGGGCCCCCAGCCTTTCGGGGCGCTGAAGGGCACCAAAGCTGCGTTAGTGACAGACATCAAGGAGATCAGGCCCCACGTCCTTGGGAGAAAACAGCTTCTCAGAGTCCTGGTTCCAGGGGAAAGAGGCTCCTCTACCTGCAGGGGACCCCTAACTTCTCTCCTTGGAGAGGACGACGCCCCTTGTCGGCATTCGCCTTCCCTCGGCTCTGGTCCATTTGTCAGGGAAGGGAGACCCGTTTATGGTGCCGAGGGGAGTTCTTATCCTAAAGATTTGAGGAGTAATCCCCAAACGACCCCCGCTTTGGACAGCGTCTTCCAAGTGAAGTAGATTCACAACTTCCCCAAAAAGTGATAGAGGTATCTTTCTTTTCTACGAAAAAAAAAAAAAAAAAAAAAAAAACCAAAACAAAAAACCCAAAACAAAAACACAACCAACCACCACCACCAACAAAAAACCCAAAAGATATTTGTCTTCCCTTCATTTTTCATTTTCACCTCAAGATAAAGAGAGGAAGGCCCAGAATTTGTTATTGCAAGTCAGCCTTTCTTCCCTTCCCCCAATCATGTCCACCAAGAAAGCTTTGCTTTTTGTGTTTTTATTAGGTCTTGTAGTGTTCGGTGAGCTTCTCTTCGTCTTCTGGAGTTTGATATTTGCAAGTTTGTATCTCCCACTTAACATCTTTGTGACCTTGACTCATCCACCCCTGTCAGTTGCAGCCCATCTCTCACCTGGTACCTCCCCCCCCCCACCCCGAATTGTCTATCATGAGGGTTAAAGGGAAGTTTTGTGAAAATGCTGAGTGCACAGTAGACTTTTGATCAGTTATTACTATTGATTCGTTAAAGAAAAGCCATGTCCTGCTCAAAAGAAGCAGCTGTTTGCATGAATGTGTCCTCCATCACAAATATTCAACCCATTCTTTCCACCAGAAAGGCTTTTCTCACACTCCTTTAATAAAGGACACCTCCTCTCCTTTGGAATCTTAATGTACTCTACTCCCCAAGTTAAATCAGAAGAAAAATTAATTTTTGTTGATGTTCTTCAAGACAAGGTTTCTCTGTGTAACAACTCAGGCTGGCCTTAAACTCACAGAGATCTGCCTGCCTCTGCCTCCCGAATGCTGGGATTAAATGTGTGATTAATATTTGGAAACAGCCGGGTGGTGGTGTCCCACACCTTTAGTCCCAGCTCCTGGGAGGCAGAGGTAGGCAGATCTCTATGAATTTGAGGCCAGCTTGGTCTATACAGAGTAAGTTTCAGGACAGCTAAGAACAGCTAATGCTACACACAGAAACCCTGTCTGGAAAAAAATTTGGAAACAATTTTTTTTTTTTAGATAAGGTCTCAATACAGCCCACCTAGGCTTTCCTCAAATGCAGTTTGTAGCCTATGGCTGACCTTCAACCCCTGACCCCTGGTGATCCTCCTTTATCATCCTACAGGAAATTGCCTGATGCCTTGGAGACTCCCCTGCACAGTTCAGGTTTAAGAACTGGGTCCTGTGTAGTATGTGTTCTCCTGGTCTTACTTTCAGTTTGGATTGACATCTTGTTTAGTGGTTTCTTTTTTCTTGTTTTGATATTTTGAGGCAGGGTTTCTCTGTGTAGCTGTAGCTGTCTTGGAACTCACTCTGTAGATGAGGCTGGCCTCTGACTCATAGAGATCCACCTGCCTCTGCCTCTGCCTCCTGAGTGGTGGAATTGAAGGCATGCACCACCACCTCCAGGCTTTAGAGAAATGATCTTGCTATGTAGCTGTAGCTGCCCTGATACTCGCTGTTTATCCAAGTCTGTCCTCGAACTCCCCACAGCCTTCTTGCCTCAGCCTCTTTCTCGGTGTTAGGATCACAGGTGTCTGCCCCCACTCCTGGTTTAGGGAGATCATATTAAAAGATTCTTTTTCTGTCCCTCTTGGCCAGATTCCCTCAGGGAAGAATTGACTGGCCTTTTCTCAAGGTGCAAGGGGCTCTGGGAAATTCCGAGGGCCTGGTCATTCTTATGGTATTGTTTAGTGCCACAAACGTGGCAGTGCCCAGTGTCGTTTTCTCTTTTTTTGGTGGGGGGCAGCGGGCATTCAAGACAGTTTTCTCTGTATAGTCCTGGACCTCCCTCCGTAGACCAGGCTGGCCTCCCTGGTGCTGAGATTACAGGTATTCACCACCATGCCCAGCTATGTGCTCAATGTTCTTAATAATGAACTAAAGAGAAGGGATTTGGGGGCATATAGTTTTCAGTTCTACTTTCTTTGTTCAATTTGTTTTTTTCTTTTTTTCTTTTTCTTCTTTTTTTTTTTTTTGCTTTATTGCTGTAAATTTTTACTTCCAAAACTATTATTTTGGGGAAAGTTGAATGATTAGAAATGTTGCCACTGTAGGATTTTTGGCATTGTAAAATATTCTAGACAGAGTTTCAATGTTAATTAATTCTTTAGTAGTAGGTTTCTGTTTTGTAATACTTTTTATTTCTGATAGGGTACACACTTCCAGATTGCCTGAAGGCACACTGAAGAAACGCTTTATCTTTTTTTGTATGTAAAGTGTTCTTAAATTCCTCAAATGCCTGTGAGTACCTATTGAAGGCAGTACTCCTGTTCATGATATCTGTCTGTCTGTAGGGTGTGTGCTGAAGCAAAAGAGAAAGTTATCCTTTTCATAGTGGGCTTGTCTTGTGATTATTTTGACTTGGTCATCTTGCATCAAACCCAGGAAAGTTCCTGAAGACGTGCTGACATTCCGGGCTGTGTACCTAGTGAGTGGAGGCAGAAGGGGGCCTGGTTCTTGCCCAGAGAATTTGAACTATTCCCTGCAGAGCTTTGCATTTGAAACAGATGAGAGGTCACTTGATATAGTATCTCTTCCTCCTTCCTCCTTTTTTTCTGTTTGGTTTTTTTGAGACAGGGTTTCTCTGTGTAACTTAAGCTGTCTTGGAACTCACATTGTAGACCAGGCTGGCCTCAAACTCATAGATTCACCTGCCTCTGCCTCCTGAGTGCTAGAATGAAAGGTGTGTGCCCAGCCTCTCCCTTCCTTTTTTTCTTTAACAAACTTGTTTTGTTTGAGACAGGGTCTCCCTGTGTAGTCTACTATGTAGCCCTGAATGACTTGGAAGTTTGTGTTTTCCCTGGTGTTGGGGTGGTAGGCTTGTGTTATGAGCTTCGTCTTTTATTAGAATAATTTTACTTTATATTTTATACAAACATTAGTCATTTACAAAGTCTGAAACAAATCTGTTCCCTTAACAATTTAATACTTGTAAGGATGGCAAGAATCATTTTTTAAAAATTTCTTTTTAAATTTTATTCTATTTATTTAGTTATTTATTTAGTCAGTTACTTAATTTTTCAAGACAGGGTTTCTCTGTGTAGCTTTGGCTGTCCTGGAACTCACTCTGTAGACCAGGTTGGCCTTGAACTCAGAGATCCACCTGCCTCTGTCTCCCAAATGCTGGTATTAAAGGTGTGGGCTACCACAAAAAGCTTTAAATTTTATTTTATATATATGAGTATTTTCGTATGTATGCATGTATGTATGTATGCATGTATGTATGTATGCATGCATGTATATCAGGTATGTGCTTGGTACCTGCAAAGGCCAGAAGAGGGCATCACACTACAGCCATGTGGTTGCTGGGAATCAAACCCAGGTCCTCTGGAAGAGCAGCAAGTGCCCTTAACTACTGAGCCATCTCTCCTGCCTGGTAAGTCATTCTTAAGTCAATGGGTTAATTTTCACTTAAACCTTAAACTAGAGAATGACCTGGTATCCTTTTCCAGTAGCTTGATTACAAGTCATTGAGAAGGCTTGTTGTGAATAAAATCCCTATCTGCATTTTATGGTCATGTTACTTGTTGTTTTTTGTTTGTTTTGTTTTGTTTTTTGAGACAGGGTTTCTCTGTATCTCTGGCTGTCCTAGAACTGGCTCAGTAGACCAGCTTGTCCTTTCCTTTTTGCTCCATATTAAGGATTTTTAAAATGTTTTTTAAGATTTATTAGAGATTTAATTTAAAAAACTTTGATAGTTGGATAGAGATCTTAGAGACTGGTAAAAAGCCGTGTAATGTAATTCATACTATGTATTGATTTATTTATTTATTTGATTTGGTTTGATTTGTTTGCTCTTTTTTTTTTTTTTTTTTTTTTTTTTTGTGCTGCTGGTGCTTAGACCCAGGATCTTACACCTTCCAAACAGGTGCTTTCCTCTGAAATACAGCTCAGACACAATAATCACAAAAGTACAACAAACAAATGAGTTATTGTTGGGCACATCACTCAGGCAACACTGTTAATATGTGGTTCATTAGGCGGGATTTAAGGCAAGTTCTCATGTAACCCAGGCTGGCCTAGAACGTCTATGTAATGGATTGGATCAGCCTGTCAGCCTGTCTTTGTTTTCTTTTTTTCCCCTTTTGGTTTTTTAAGTCAAGGTTTATCTATGTAACAGCCTTGGTTGTTCTGAACTTGCTTTGTAGACCATGTGACCTAAAACTGCCTCTTCCTCTAGAGTACACGAGATTAAAGATGTGCACTACCACACCTGACCTTCATGGTGCAGATACATTCATTCAGGCAAAATGTTCACACACAAAATAAAAATAAAATACATAGAACAGCTGAGCTGTTAAAACTCCACCTCAAATCTCAGCCTGATAAGATAGAATTCATCAAGATAGAATTCATCTGGACTAGAAATGGTCCTCAGTGGTAGACCAACCTAGCCTATCATTTCTGAAGCCCTGGGCTTGATCTTAAGCACCACAGAAACAAAAAAACAAGTAAAAAGCCATGTAAACATACACAGAAAAGTCACATAGCTTGCCTGTTTAAACTGTACAAGTCTGTGTACTTTATAGTGTAGTCAGTTATACAGCCATTACTGTGATCAATTTTAGAATTTTAATTTTGGTGTTTTTGTTTTATTTTGCTTTGAGACT